GCTATGGGCAAATAGATAAGCCCAGGATTTAAGATTTAATACACAAACCTATACAATAGTTATAAAATAACCGCATTCTGGGTTGCCAATTATCTCCATTCTGCATGCATTAGAATAATTTAAACCGTTCTCAACTATCCAATAGACGTTATAATAACGCAAGAAACCGGAAATAACTGACCTTGCTACCCATAATGCTTTGAAGACTGAAGATTACGTTCAAACAATAATACATTGTTAACTCGGGCTGTATCTTTAAGGTTTGATTCTTGATACACCTAATCCTTAGCAAACAAGTCTAGCAGTTAGTGAGTTCAATCATCATTGGGCATCCTAGTATTGCTCTCGTCTTGGGTATGACAGCAAGGCATCTGATCGGGAGATTTTGAGAATCATGAACCACTTCTTAATTTCTGTTGTCACCAATTACACCCTGCCCCGGAGGTAGTAGCAATGGTTAGGATCCCATCTATGGGTAAATAGTTACTCCCGCCACACACCAAACTGACATGAAAACACTATAAAAGTATAAAAATAGATTTTTACAGTAAAAAATGCCAGCAATACATTTTTTAAAAAAGAAAATATTACCGGCAGTACACTTTTTTAAAAGAATATTGCCAGCAGTACATTTTTGAAAACAATGTTACCGGTGATACATTTGACACTTGGCAAAAACCCTCTTTACAAAAATACGCCGATGAAACCTGATCTAAAAACTGATTTCTTACAAAGAATACATATTCTATTCATACAAACCTATCCTAAAAATCTTGTTGACATTAGATAATCCGTTGAGGTTGATATACCGTAAAAGAAAATAAACCAAACCAAAATTCGTTAGTTCATAACTCAGCTAAGACTGATGTATAATATCAACCATCTTCAAACTTCTAGGCAGACTGATACTCAAGGCTAGACAAGGCCTCCGATCAGGAGATTACAGGTTCTGAGGAGCGTGGAACCACTTCTTAATTGCTGTTGTTCCCAGGTCCACCCTGATGGGAGTGACCTGTCCGGGTCCTAACTCTGGACAAATATTGAACCCCCAAACAAAAACAATATGAAGGTGTAAATATACCAGCAATAAAGTTTTATATAAGTGAGTGGGAACAGTCGCAGTTGAGCTAGATTCAACGGGAAGGGTTCATTTTGTGTATCAACAATTATATAAAACCAATCGAAAATTAACCCAATTAAATTCGTTATTTATAATAATTTTTATTTTCCCTAGCGGAAGTTTCTTTTTCCTTTGGTATGGCACGGTTCCATCAACTCAATTCAACACGTAAAGTGAGGACGGACATTGGATGTTCACGGCAAGATCAATCAAGCACAACGTGGGACAGAGCAGATGAAGAAACGAAGCGGTCAACAGATAACAATCAATTGTCCGGCGCCAGTACTGACCAGCGTGTGAAAGTCTCCGTATCGATTCGGGCCGGCCGTGTTATAAATATACTATCTTTAAATTCTTATAGCTTATATGCATTCGTAAATATACAACTAGTACTTAGATATTTCCACATTCAACTAGTGAGTTCAAACAAGACAAGGCTTGTTACAGAATGTTATAATGGAAAACTTCGTCGACGAATCAGTGACAGATGCCAGAATATATAATACAAATACATCACGTAAAATTTCTCGTTATGCCCTTGACATTTCAAATACTATATCTATAAGCCGCAGTTATACACCTTTTAAAATTTAACGAGGTCTCAGCAGACATCACACGGCTCATCACTGTCAATGGCTTCTCTGAGAAACCTACAGCTGGTTGTCAGAGTAAAAGATAGAACATCGAGCAAGCAATGCAACCCGTGGAGAGGTCAAGTCTACCTTTTGCAATTTTCTCACGTTGTTCACAATACATAGGGAACAGTATGGGGTTATAGCCGCAAGGGATAGGGGGTGAGAAATTACACACGGGCCAAATCGCAAGAATTATCTATACAAAGCGAATGATTGTTGTTGATACAAATTTAACTCGACTAAGACATGAGAAATATGATGTCTAAGAGAACTTAAATTATGTCGGTCCCTCTGCATCTTTTGTGATTGTTATTCAACACGGCTGATTATAAATTTCAAGTTTATTTGTATTTCGAATCATATATATATATATCAAATCTCGACGGAGAGTCGACTATATATATATATATATATATATATATATATATATATATAGTCGACTCTCCCGTCGAGATTTGACGTATGAGAGTCAAGCAGATCAGTTTCAGGAAACCGATATATATATATATATATATATATATATATATATATATATATATATATCAGTTCAGAACGAAAGTAATATATAAATTCTAACGTTCACAGCATTAATCCAAAAGAGAGCTTGATGCCGATATTAGACCGATAATTATTTATTATTAATAACTAAATATTTATATATAACCAAAAATTGTTATGGACAGAGAACTGTTCATAAAAATCTTTGGTTCTCACCAGTCGAAGTGCAATTGAAATGCACCGAAACTAAGTTGCATCTTTGTAGTGAGTAAACTGTTTTTGTCTATATGATAAAATATGATAAAATTATAATATATATATATATATATATATATATATATATATATATATATATATATATTAACACGGCCATAATGTGCTGACAGTTTTCGGAAAATAAAACATTCCTATAACTTTAGACATATACATAAAACCCCACATATTTAGTTAAAAAAATTGTCTTTCATAATAGGTAAAAAAATAAAAAGAAGTGAAAGCGCTTGCATATGCAAGACTTTTGAACCATTTTTACACATTTTCTGTCCGGAAAAGAAAACACTTGTACGAACACATGAAAAATGAAATACAAAGAATAATTGCAGTACCTTTTCAGCAGTTGCCTTTAACGACCCCAGCCTCATATATATATATATATATATATATATATATATGAGTACAGGGTTGGTATAGATGGAATAAAACTCCGATAACCAAAACCTCTATTTTTAAGAAAGTGCTCAATACAAAGTAAAGCAAATAGTGTATATTCAAAAGTTATAACATAATTATGTTATAACATCACTTCAAAAATAGCCATTTTGTTACAACACGTGATGGTGTTGATAGCGAAAATTGTAGATTTTTTTCTCAATCAACACCATCACTTCATAAGTGTTGAAACAAAATGTCTATTTTTATAGTGATGTTATAACACCCTTATATTAGAATTTTTGAATAATATATATATATATATATATATATATATATTATGCTGGGTGTGTGTGTGAGAGTTTCAATTAGGATATCCCGACAATGCTTTTAATTTTTTGTCAAATGAAACGTTTGCTAAAACAAATTTAAGTGAAAATTTTTTTCTTTCTGGTGCTTGATTTTATTTCTTTTTCTTCAAATAATTTCATGAAACGTTTCTTCTTCAGTATTATATATATATATATATATATAATATATATATATATATATTATATGTAAATGATATTCTTTGATATGAAATATGGCATTGATCAGTCCTCTGGTATTATAGAACAATCCGTTTTGCTTTTAGCCCAATGGTCATGGGGCCATGCTGATTTCCCAAGCTGTTTAGAGTTGGGATAAGCATGATCTTTGACATTTTTTTCTCTGCCACGTGTTCCAAGAAATTTTAATCTGTTCAAAAAGTGGTTATGATCTTCGGAATTTCCATGAAAACATTGATGGGTCTTTCCTGAATTGTTAAATTGAGGATGTGCAATTAGTAAATACTAAACAATTCAGATACCCCGATTGATCGGTTTAATATTTGGTGCCTCGGATGCGCCAGATTTAGTTTCGCCCAATACTAGATTGGCTACCAAACCAAACATCCCACCGTTTTAACCATTGAACTAGTCAAATCGATTTTATATGGGTCATGGCGCCCAAAAACGGTAAAAATATTTAATCTCATCTATATACGACCGTTTCTTAAGATTCTTGGCGCTTTGTGGGAAACTCCTTTCTTGGCATCATCCTTCTTTGAACATTGTTGACTAGCCAATTTAAAACAAATTTTGTGCCAAAACCTGATCCTGAGGACTAGTCGCCATCTTCTGTAGTTCGTGAAACCAATTTTTTATTATCCAAGATGTTAAGGTTCCATATCCTCAAATTTACGGCCGGATAATCCCCATCAATTCTGAAACACCCATTGCCTTACGAAAAAAAATGAAGAGAAATAAATTAAACAGAATAAAAGTCTTCTTGAGCCTTAAATTCAGATCTAGATAATATTTCCATTGCTTAGGGAATACCAGGTTATTTAAATGATATGGTGGGCTTTGAGAATCCGGTATTTTTGAGTACTGTTTTGCTTTTAACGTTAAAGGTTTATGGGGGATGAATTTCCCATACATTTCCCCCTTCCCGCTACACTTTTGATTTTTTTGGTCTGGTGCTTGTTTTGTTTTTCTCTTCAAATAATGGTTATTCTTCGGTATTTCCATTACCATTAGGAATTACTTTGTACGTTACTTAAATGATATGCTCTGATATGGTGGGCATTGAGAGTCCGGTATTATAGAACACTGTTTTTGAGAAGAAATGGTCCTTTGCTAAATCAATCATTTGTATGCTGTCTATTCTAAGCATACTTTCGACATTTTTTCTGCCTGTAAGCCTCAAATAGTGGTTATTCTTCGGTATTTCCATCTAGGCAATATGGGTCTTTCCTTGTTAGTTGATGTGTGAATGTTATGTACACATCAATTCTTGGATGAGATTTCCTCTTTTGGTGCCTCGGCTGCATGAATTTAAGCGTGCTACTAGATTGGCAATTAGGACCCACCGTTTTAATATTGAACTACATAGATGCAACTGTATGTTCTAGTCTAATAATTTATTTTCTCGCAATTCTCGCTTGTGGGACTCCTTTCTTATTTATTGCTTCTATGCCACCTAAACTTTTAAAAAAACTGAAATGCAGTCGCCATCTTCTGTGTTCGTGAAACCAGTTTTTTTATTATCCTTTTTCCTCGCTTATCCTCAAAATTTACGGCTATATCACGTTGAAACACCGATTGCCTTACGATGACCGAAGTTAACCAAGGTCGAGCCTGGTCATTATCTAGATGGGTGACCGCTTGGAAATACCAGGTGCTGTAGTAGAACCGAGTTCCAATTCCCGGTACCTTCGTTATATTCATTTACGCGGAAAAGGTATGAATCCACCTCTTCTCCCTCCCCGCTATGGGTTAATTAGTGAGACTTGTATCACTAACTCATTATTATCTCAAAAATATTTTTACAATCTAAACATATTTTATGGCATTAAATAGCCTGAAAAAGACTGATAAGCCGTAGAGAAGAAATCAATTAATAAATCAATCATTTGTAGCTATAATCTCGTCATTCGCTTTCACTCCCTGTAAGCCTCTATATCCTAGTAGCACTATTGCCTTGCTTGAAAATAATTTTTAAAAAAATGAGTTTCACACCATGCATGATATTCATATAAAAGTCTCGATCTAACGAGAACATAAATCGAATATTTAGGTTTATATTTTGCGGTAACTTGTGGTGTTGTGGGAAACTATTCCTTGTGCAACTTATTCTGTGTTCAATTTCTTTTTATTTGCTGTGGAATGTTCAGGATTCAAGCATAATTTATTTGTATATTCTCTGTTAATGGGACAGGCACATAACACACAACATTATCGTATCTCCGCCGATTCTATAGACTTTTTGTTCATGCAAGCATATCCTGGCACACTCTTGTTCCTTGCCACATTAAGTGAAGACTGCGAACATGTTTTTTTTTCTTATTTAAAATGGCTAAATACTTTCTGGATACGGTCACGTATTTGAACATCAAAGTGAATTAAAATAAAATAGGTTACATAAATGGATAAAAGTATGTATATATATCACGATAGATGAGATAGATAGATAGATAGATAAATAGATAGATAGATAGATAGATAGATAGATTAATTACAGGATAAAAGGGATAGATAGATAGATAGATAGATAGATAGATAGATAGATAGATAGATAGATAGATAGATAGATAGATAGGTTACAGGATAAAAGAGATAGATAGATAGATAGATAGATAGATAGATAGATAGATAGATAGATACAGGATAAATTACATTATATAAAAGATAGATAGATAGATAGATAGATAGATAGATAGGTTACAGGATAAAAGATATCCAGGTAGATTGGTAACGTTCAGGAAATTTTAAAGTAAACCGTTGATTTAATCTACGGGTGTAGATTGTTCTTCTTCCTCTGTTCATGTCTCGGGATGACTCATTTTGTTATTTCTTTTTTTTTTTTTTTAGTACTGCTCATTGCTAGTCCTGTTCCTACTGAGTCTAACTCTCTACTACCAAGCCACAATTGCTATCCACACCGAATTAGCGAGCTAATGCCCTAATACACTAGGATATTGGCCCGTAACATGGACAGCGGACCGAGAACAATCTACCCCGTGGAGTAAACATATGGTTCGCTTACAAATTCCCAGAATGTAACTCGGATCGAGAGGCAACGGAAGAAGCCCGGCGGGCACAACGGCCGAAATGTTGTAATAATAACCACCAATATCAGAATGTTAGTCTGAATGTAAATACTGCATATAATTATAACTCATCTCAGAGATAGATAGATAGATAGATAGATAGATAGATAGATAGATAGATAGATAGATAGATAGAGATAATGAAAAACAGAGATAGATAGATAGATAGATAGGCAGACAATGAAAAACAGTGATAGATAGATAGATAGATATATATATAGACAGGCAGACAGACAATGAAAAACAGAGATAGATAGATAGATAGATAGATAGATAGATAGATAGATAGATAGATGAACAAATTGAGCTAGACAGATAGACAGACAATGAAAAACAAACAGATGGATAGATGAATAATGAACAGATTAAGATAGATAGATAGATAGATAGATAGATAGATAGATAGATAGGTGAAAATCCAAGGAGCGTCTGCATCGGTAACCGGCGGCTTCTGGTCGTTCCTGTCTCTGCGTCTGTGGGAACCCCGCGGCAAGCAAGAACGTTATCCGAGCAGGCCTGGGTACCCTACTTCTGTAATTTATCCCAAGAATCTTCTTCTCATAACAGGAAGAAGCCGGCTCAATCCGACCAGGGTGAATGCCGCATCAGTACAGTACAGTAATAATGAAGAGTGCATCGACCGAAATTCTGGGGTAAAGAAACAATAATAATAAAATGGTACAAAAATAGTAATAAAATAATAATAATAATGACAATGGAGAGTGTATCGACCCTGAATGTTGCGACTAAAAGCAGCAATTTTAATAGTGACAAGTAATAAAAGGATAATAATGTTAAAGATTCTACTGGCAAAACAAAAGACCTGATACGTCGCCTACACTAAGGTGAATCATTTTAATTCTTATCTTATTTTGTTAGTGAGACCTAAATTCCATTCAAACAGCTTTTTTCCACGAACCGCAACATTATGGAGCCGACTTCCAAGAGGATACTACAATCTTCAAGTCTAGGGTTTCCCGTTGGTTTTCTCACATTTCCTCCTAAATTGAGCCTCTTACCTCTTACCGCTCACAGTAGCGCTTACCTCGAGTGGCGCTTGGGCCTTGTATAGCGTTAACAGTTAGAAAGGAAACTTATGAAAATAATAGTAATATATATATTATAAAATATTTTATCAGCCCAAAAATGTGTGAATAAAAAGTAAAAGAGAAAAATGTACTTTTTTAATCATTTCACCCCAAGTAAGTCAATGAATCCACTAAGATTCAGTGGGTTAATGAGTGAGAAAGAATATATAAAAACAACAGAAACACTTTTAAGGAGAGAGAACAACAAAAGAACAGCAATTAAGAAGATAATGATTGACATTGCATTTAAATTTTTGAAGATCAAAGTTAAATGGGAAGCAAGAAGTCGGAAGAGATCCACAGGCAACAAGTGCGAGAGAAGAAACTGTTAGCATAGAACTTACGGTTACATCTAGCCATTTCAACTGTAAAATGATAAGACCTTGCCTTCAATCTAGTGCTACGTTTAAATTCGTAAAGTCTAGGTACCACAGTGGAAAGTAATATTTATTTTGTTTTACTAAAAAAAGTTGGCAAAGGCCAAAAGGGGAGAGATAGAAAGGCTTGTTTTCAAAGGCTTGTTTTTCTTATGTTAAAACTAGTAAGCCAAGATTACTAACCTAAGTAAGAATGTTTTGTTTTAGTGTATGGAATAATGTAGTATGTTTATACTACATTATTTCATACACTAAAACAAAACATTCTTACTTACCATTCTTACTACAACCACCATAATACATCAAAGTATCCATATAGTCCTAACTAGCCCTCATATGTACTATTTCTCTGTGATGGGGGAAATGAAAAAATGGCAGCATTTAAAAATGAAACCCCAGTGAAGATTCACAAATGAATAATAATTTGTACCATAACGGAAAATTAATCAGAACGATTACCATGAAAGTGTTTATAGAAAAGACACAAAGACAAAGGAGCCAGATCAGGACCATTAACATTGTTCATCATTAGATTCCCAAGGCAAATATGCTGAAGACACCAGATGCCCTGCCTCAGGACCATTAACAAAACTTATCTGGCCGTTCATCCTCATTTGTTATATTTTCAACAAAAATATCAAAATATATAGATGGAACAAATACATTGAGTCACCACCGCGAGCGGATGTCTCTGTGCCGCCCAAGCTCCCTGAATATTCAAAACAAAACAACCATTCGGTCTGCCATATATGCTTATAAACAAGATCCAGTGACTGATATGTAATCTAGATAGATTCTCAAGGGCGTCGCCTCTCTCTGTCTTTTCTAAAATACTTGTCTGCTCTGACGCACGATACTGTCCATGAACAAGCAACTGTCCCGCTCCCCACCCTTACACCGTAGTCTCTTCTAGATCTCACCTCTCGCCAGCACCCTCCCCATTACTGATAATCTCCAGCTATTCAAATGTAATGTCAATCGACATCTCCAGTTACCATTACTTCTCCTCTCGCTCCAAATCTTCCCGTCCTAGTGGCTTCAAAATATTTTAACAAGTAATCAAAATATATTGAGACCATAGGGATGTGGCAATGGTCTTATAAATGAGTCTATTCTGGCGTGAAAAATTTAATATCAGCTGTCTCCAAGAGCCTATATTGAACTTCAAGTCAAAAATATTAGCCTGAGATGGTTCAAAACAATAAAATGCCGATGAACTGCAAAAAGCAAAACAATAAAAAGAGCAATAAAGTAATTGTAATAATGAAACTTTATTGAACCAAAGTTTTGGTGTTCTGGGTAAGACGATAAACTACATCTGCGTCCTGGGTAAGACGATAAACTACATCCGCGTCCTGGATAAGACGATAAACCACATCCGTGTCCTGGGTAAGACGATAAAATAAATCCGCGTCCTAGGTAAGACGATAAATTACACCCGCGTCCAGGGTATGACGATAAACTGCATCCGTGTCCTGGATATGACGATAAACTACATCCGACTGCAAGGCCTCTGATCAGGAGGTTTTGAGAAGCATGGAATCACCTCTTAATTGCTGATGTTGCCAGGTCCACCCTGACCAGGGGTGGTAGAACCTCTCAGGGTCCCAACTATGGGCAAATACTTAAACCCCCGGCAAAAAAGGGATCAAAACACTATGAAAGTATAAAAATAGGTTTTAATACCAGCAATTTTTGAAAAAAAATTATTACCGGCAATACATTTTTGAAAAAAAAGTATTGCCAACATTGCATTTTTGATAAAAAAAAAAAAAAAATTACCAGCAATACATTTTTGAAAAAATAAAAAAATAAAAATATTGCCAGCAATACAGTTTTGGAAAAAAAAAATTACCTGCAATACATTTTTTGAAAAATTACCAGTAATACGTTATTTTTATACACTTTGTCATGTGCCATGTGTCCTTGAGGATAAAGGCATTGGTTAGATCCAGTGACTGGACCCAAAGAGTGTGAGTTCAATACCCGGTCAAGGCAGTAGAGAACTTTCAGAGGGAAAATTAACAGGAGATAACTGATAACTGACATCCATTAGATATGGCACGTGGAACTAGAACAGTCTACCCCAGTGAACGAAATAAAGGGTTCAGTTCGACATTGCAACCACCTGAAGAAGGCCGGAGCGTACAACGGCCGAAACGTTGTAATAAATATGGCGACAAAGATGAGGACAATAATCCGAATAATGTAAATAGTGTACATAATACCTGAGAAATATAGACAGATAATAAAAATACCCTCGATATTAAATATCCTCTTGAGGTTGATATGCCGTAAAATCAAATAAAACAAACCAAAGTTTTGGGATTAAAGGCAACAATAAAAAAAAGTGGGTAAAACTATTAATAGCAGAAAAGTCGCTTATTTCTCTTATTTTCTGTTTGGAAATATTGAGTTTACTGTATCGTATTTCTGAATCTCTTCATCATTCGTCGAATGTATCTATGGAAACATTCCTTTTTTTTTCTTTCTTTATAATGTAAAATCTCCATCAAATCTCTGTTGATCCGTTCCTCCCATAATTGTTGCTGTAAACAGTTGGCCGATCATATAAACGACCAGTTTATAATCCGAAAATAAGGGTTTCTACAAGTTTAGGTTGGAGAGTAAAGCAATATATCATAAGTGACTTACAGAAATGTACAGCGAGAGGTAAATCGCTAATCCGAAATGGTCATTTAGTATTTAGTATCTTATATGAATCAGTTGGAAACCATCTGAACTAATGTTTACCAGCTGCGATAATGAGTAAGTGCCATCTGTCAGATACAAAGGTCAGCGGTGTTGCTAACGTCAACTGACCACGCAACCAGCGATTAAGAATTGATCTGGTCACTCAAATTAGCTCGCAGTTCATACGGATCTAATGATCCTAAGATGATATCAGACAATCTATGCCTTTCATTATCAGTTATGTATAGTTAGGACTAGCAGTAGAGCCTGGCGTTGTCCGGGGATATAACAGTAAGAGATAGATCAAGTATCGACCATCATAAAGACTGAAAAATAAAATTGACAAAGATTATTGTTTAAGGTTGACGGACAAGCATGTCTTAATTATTTTTTTTTTTTTACAAATTGGTCAAACCCAAACTCAAACAAAAACATTGTTTTCAATCGTTATGAGTCTACCGATTGAATAGAATTTTATTATAAACAATTGTCTTGTAAATGGAATTTTTAAAGCATTCTGAATGTAAAAATAAAGAAAAAAGTGTGCAAGACAATAAGAAACACTACCTGCCCCAAAAAGTGAAGTTTTGTTGAAATTGGTTGAAAAATGTAGGAAATCTGATCCCATATATAAACGAACACACACACACACAAAAAAAACAACCTGGGTTTTATAATAAGTATAATTCGATATGAGTTGTCCCCCTTTCATTCTCGCGACACCGATGCCCCTTAATCGTGTTTTCAAATTGATTTCGTGCAAAAACAATTGCGTTTTTCCTATTTTTGGTGCTATTAGAACCACCGTAAGGTAATTTTACGTAGTCCTGTGAAGTTTTGTTGAAATCGGTTGAAAAGTGTACGAAATCCGATCCAATATATAAACGAACAGACACACACACACACAACCTGGGTTTTATAATAAGTATGATGATGTCTTTTTTCCTAGTAATATTTTTTCTGGAAAAAAGCCATGTGGATATTGTATTCATATTTAATATTTTTTATTATTAATCCCTAATTTTTAATTATTTCACATTACCTGTAAAAAAAATATATAGAGAATAATAGTTTCTACAAATAACTCTCTGATTAATAACCATCGTAAGAGAAAATGTATAGTGATCAACAAAACAGACAGGCGAAGAGGCGAGCTACGAACATGAGGTCTCAAAATTAAGCAGGTTCAGAAATTTAACTATGTGGAAAATGGGACAAAGTAATCAAAAGACGCACTGAAATACAGAATTGATTAATAGATTAATTAGTTTTTACGGCTTATCAACACTTTGTAAGTTATTTAAAGCCATAAAATATGTTTAGATTCCAAGAATTTTTTTTTTAGATAATAATGATTTTTTTTTTAGATAATAATGATTTTTTTTTTAAATAATAATGATTTTTGGTACGGGTGCGTACCGATCTTTAAATATCTGTTTATATCCCTGTTATGGGATCTTACCCATAATAATAATAATGGACTATTCCATACTTAAATACTGCACCTCAGGAGTAGGCAAGGGAGAAGTTGAGTCAGTAGTTCAAGTGGAGTCAGTAATTCAAGTCGAGTCAAGAGTCGAGTCAGAGGCAGTCCGAAACAGAGTCGCGTTCAGACATTTACTGCAAGACATTGGAAAAGTGATACTAGTCGAGACTACATTGTTCTCTCTACTAAACCTGATTGTTCGTACTAACACTTTCTACTTCTCTGTATATATTCCTGTTTGTAATATATCTGTGTTATTCCATATCCGTGTCCAAGTTCTTCTTAATTGGTTCTACCTTGGACTATCACCGTGGTACAAGGAACCGGACAATAACAATCCCTGAGATGAGGTATCATGATTATTTATATTATTTACATTATTCGGATTGTTATCCTCATCTTCATTGCCAAATTCACAACCTTTCGGCCGTTGCACGCTCCGGCCTTCTACGGGTTTGGAATTTCGAACCGAACCCTTTATTTCGTCCACCGGGGTAGATTGTTCTATTTCCACGTGGCACATGGACCAGTGGATAAAGGCATTGGTTAGATCCAGTGACTAGACCCAAAGAGTTATGAGTTCAATACCAGGCCACAGCAGTGTTGAACCTAAAACTTGGAGAGTTGATTTAAAGGGAAATGAGACATCCGGGAGAGACATAGCAGTTGGAACTAAACCAATCTACCGGAATAAAGCGTTTGGTTCGAAGTTCCAATCACCTGAAGAAGACCGGAGCGTATAACGGCCGAAACGTTGTGAATATGGCAATGTAGATGAGAAAAGCAGTCCGAAGAATGTAAATAATAATGATATTTCAATATATGAATATTTGAGGTATAAATATTTGAATATAACGAACCCAACTGGAATTGGAACTCCGATTAACCATTCTGAAGCATTATCCATCACACCACACTGCATGTCCAAGTTTATAGTATTCCCAAGCGGTCACCCACCTAGGTACTGACCAGGCTCGATGTTGCTTAACTTCGGTGATCGTAAAGAAACCAGTGTTTTAACGTGATGTAGCAGTAAGCCTGGAATAGTGAAATACACCTTTTAGAAACTAAACAAAGTATTAAATGATAAGAAAACGTACTGAACGATGATGTCATATTTATTATCTTATATGATAGTGATTGCTGTAAAATGTCCTCGTATATGAGGGAGGTCGGAGCGACTGGAATGTGTTTCTTCATAAGCTTCATAAGAATACCATAGACGGAACAGGCGATCAATGAGGAAGTTTCAAAAAAATGGAAATGAAATAGGTCATTTATAGTAAAAATCAGAACGAGACAGTTGAAATTTCAAGAACACGTGATAAGGAAAGAGGACTTAGAGAATTTAATACACACAGGACATGCTGACGGCAGAAGCGACTGCATCAGGTAACCTACCTTAAGTGTTTTTTTTTAATGGGTAACAGAATAGGAACATTAGTAAGGAACATACATTGCTTAGAATTACAAAGAATAAGAACAACGGCAAGATGCTTTACGTGAATCTTATTTATTATAAAACGCAGATTGTGTATGTGTGTGTGTCTGTTCGTTTATATATTGGATCGGATTTCCTACATTTTTCAACCGATTTCAACAAAACTTCACAGGACTACGTAAAATTACCTTGCGGTGGTTCTGAGAGCGCCAAAAATTGAGAAAACACAATTGTTTTTGCACGAAATCAATTTGAAAACATGATTAAGAGACATCACGAGAATGAAAGGGGGATAACTCATGTCGAGTTATACTTATTATAAAACCCAGTTTGTTTGTGTGTGTGTGTGTGTGTGTGTGTGTGTGTGTGTGTGTGTGTGTGTGTGTGTGTGTGTGTGTTCGTTTATATATGAGATAGGATTTCCTATATTTTTCAACCGATTTCAACAAAACTTCACTTTTTTTGGGCAGGTAGTGTTTCTTATTGTCTTGCACACTTTTTTTTTTATTTTTACATTCAGAATGCTTTAAAAATTCCATTTACAAGACAATTGTTTATAAAATTATTCTATTCAATCGGTAGACTCATAACGATTGAAAACAATGTTTTTGTTTGAGTTTGGGTTTGACCAATTCGTAAAAAAATAAAATAAAATAAAATAAAATAATTAAGACATGCGTGTCCGTCAACCTTAAACAATAATCTTTGTCAATTTTATTTTTCAGTCTTTATGATGGTCGATACTTGATCTATCTATTACCGTTACATTCCCGGGCAACGCCGGGCTCTCCTGCTAGTACTGGATATAAGTGAGAAAGTAATTGGTTCCCATAATGTTCTGCCGCAGCGGGGGCGTGACTGCGTCAGTTTAGTGTCAGTTAATACGTCTGACGAGATAAGCCCCATGTTTGCTTCTGCTCCGTTTGTCTTCAGTTCTTACCAGACTCTTTGTTAGAATTCATCCCGTCTTGGCCATGAATATAATGCCTTGTTTTGTATAAACAGCTAGAGTCGACTGAACAAAAATGTCATTGACATAGTTCATAGTTCTTATTTATAAGAGCTACGGCGTGAATTACGCTCCTTCACGAATTCTATGTTATACTTAAGACCTTGTAACTTCTGTTTTTATCAATTGCACTCCAAGCAAGGAAATAAAGCCACAAAGACACAACGAGCCACGGACTGTTAGAGAGTATAATAAAAACTACTACTAAGGAAAGAGGACAATTTAAGAATAAGAATTAAGAAGACAGAAGATAATTCGCATTGCATTTAAATTTTTCAAGATAACTGGGAAACAAGAAATTTGTAAAGAGTTCCACAAGCGAGAAGTACGAGAGAAGAATCAATTAGCATAGAACTTACGGCAAAAAAGAACACTTCAACTTAGAATCAGAAAGAGAAAAGTAAAATTTTGCGTAAATGGTTGTCAGGACTGGAATTGAATGAAGGATAACAAAAAGGCAAACTTTGTTAAGCTCTACAAAGAACTAGAAGAGCCATGACGGGATACGGCAGAGAGAAGGCTCACTCTGTTATTGTTTGGCTTCACGAACAATGATTTAGGAGGGGTGTCCTCAGCTGCTGTAAATTCTCCGATACCCAGTGAAGTTCACTCAAGAGATGGCCTGATTTACTGCAGCAACTACAGATGAACGTCTGACAACGGCATGGAGGTCTGCCATTATTGCCTTTTCTGTTTTCTTGTTCTGCAGTTTTCTTTCGAAAGGAAGGTTGCCCTGCCCTGTGTCGTTGTATCTCCCTGTGGATTTTGATTTTGTTAGTATTTCATTTTAAAAGATGTGAGGGATTATTTTTTAATGGCAATGATAATATTAGGTGTTTCCGTAAAAAAAAAAGTGGCTTTCATTGACACAGAAGCTAGTGCTAATGTCGGTTTAAATTTATAAAATCTTTCTCTTGAAACAATTTTGCAGGAAAATAGGTTTCTCAGGTCTAGTAGCTGTTATCGCTCTTTCCAGTATTGATAGTAGTTTCCTTCCTAACCATTTGTTTGAAGTCGTGTGGAATGTCAACATCTTGATTAATATCATTATTTTCTCTTTGAGTTACATGTGCTATCCATTTTAGTTTTTGTTGCTGTTAAATGATTTGATTTTTGTTATTCGATACAATTCTTTGTCTATGGTTCTGTAGTACTGGTCCAGAATTTTCGAAGAAGAATGGTCTTTACCAAGAACCACAGGTTTCATTAGCTGGAAGCCATTTTCAACCATTGATCTGAGAAAGCTATTTTATACAGTTTAGATATTCCTGAATGGATTCAGCGTCATTTATGATATCCATATGAAGTTCCCGATCTGACAAGGCTATTTAAATACACTACAATATTTTTTTGCAATTTTTTATTGAAATCCTCACAGTATTTAGTATAGGTGAAATTATCGCTAACATTTTTGTCGAGATTTAAAAACTACGTTTCGTTCAATTTCGCATACCAATCGATGAAATTTGAATAAGCTGATTTGTTCTGAAAAATACTTTGACAAAAACCCTACTTCAGTGTTTAATAATATCCTTAATTCAATTTAATTTGATTTTATAGGACTTCATGGTAAACAAGATTTTTTTAAGAATTTTTTTCCCTTTTTAACAGCGAAGAATAAATTCTTAAGATTTCTTACTCTTGAGCATGCAACATACAACTGGGCATACGTAAGTATTTTTTTCTGGAGCCAAATTCCAACTTTTTGAACCGTTTGGACTTGTGATTTGTTTTTAGTTCTCGCAAACAGGAAACTGGATTCTTCTATATAAAAAAGACTTAAAGAAAAGCCAAAATAAACAATGTTACGTTTTTATTAAATAAGTATTTGTTATTTTAATCATTGCTTTTTTAAAAAGTCAGTGTAACATTATGTTAAATAATAAAACTTATTTTTTCCCCCAAAATTAATGAATTTATTGTACTAACCTACGCACCCGAGTAAAATCAACTGTACTTTGTACCCTTCTTACCTGTTTGCATTTCTCCTCAAAATTTGGTTTCAATGTATGACTATTTTAGAGGGCGTGACGGACGGACGGACGGATGGAAGTCACAGAATTTTATGTATAGATTACTTGAGCTTTCTGGTTTTGTAGCAACTTGTGATGTTGGGCAGAACCACATCTTGTTCAATTTCCTAATCTTCTATGTTAAAGAACAGAACAGTAGAACAAGCGGATGGCAATTACAACAAATCTCAATGGTTGAACCAACAGATAAAGAAGGCGACGCATCACGGACATACTACAGAAGGCGCCACTCGAAATTATAACAAAGTCAGTGGTAGTCCGTTTCAGTTTCATAACTCTATTCGCCATGTCTCATTCCATATGTGCCACAGACAAATGTCATGAAATTAAGAGTGTGGGTCACTTCCTGAGAAGTTGAGGTCCACCTTAAACAAATCACGCCATCGGCACTTTCTTCTTTGCTGATTTTCTTTCACCTCCAACCAACATTTGTAAAGCCACAAGACGATAGAAAATGGGTGACGGGAAAAGGATTTTGGCGAAACTGGAAGCATCTAGCATTTAACCTGCACGTTAGCGGCGAATTAATCATCAAGGCGATCATCATAAAGGAAGCGATCAACAAAGTAGAAATTCAATTCTTGGAATACGAGATAAAGCAGACGACAATGCTAAATTTGTTATAACTGATTTAAAGGTGTCTCTGTACCTCTTCATTACAGCCCCGCTTACTTCGTCGAACAGGAGGTGCCTCGCCATATGGTCTCCTCAAAGCAAGTGATTCATTTGAATCATAGCTTCAATGCTTGTGGTCCTAGAAGCGGAAATGTAATAGTGTGCTTCCGTATAAAAAAAAAAAATACTAATTCAGATAAAGAGAAAATATATTTCTGTGTAAACAGATATTGGCTTATATAAGAATGGACAAAAACATTTACCCTTCTGGTTTTTGTTATTAAAGAACAACTTCTACTGTTATCAATCAAAACAATGAAGCTTAATATATATTAAAATAACAAATCTACAACTAGAAAACGTCTCTGACAAAACTGAAGTGGAGGTCATTATTATTTTAGAAAATATGTAAATATTTCTTTACATTGTATTCTTAGTTCTAATTTTACTCATGGCGCATTGTTAACTCGCGCTGCACCTCAGAGATTAAATTAAATTGTCTAAGAACATAATTCAGATTCTTGGTACACGTTTCCCAATCTTTATCAAACAAGTCTAGCAGTTACTGAGTTCAATCCTCATTGGGAATCCCATTATTGCTCTCGTCCTGGGAATGACGTCAAACTACATCCTGCATCAAGGCCTCTGATTGGAAGATTTTGAGGATTGTGGAACCACCTCTTAATTTTTTTTGTTCCCAGTTAAACTCTGACCGGGGGTGGTAGAACCTGTTAGGATCCTAGCTATGGGCAAATAGTTAAGCCCAGGATTTAAGATTTAATAAAAAAAACCTATACAATAGTTATAAAATAACCGCATTCTGGGCTGATAATTATCTTCATTCAGCAGGCATTAGAATCATTTAAACCGTTCTCAACTATTCAATAGACGTTATAATAACGCAAGAAACTGGAAATAACTGA